TACCAAGTGTGACGGGGTCACACAGCACCTTGCGCTAGAGGAAGTTATCTTCCAAGAGTATACAAACTCTCAGTGAACGGCAGTTCACAGGTCCCCTCTTTGTTTAAAGAGAGCGAAGTGACCTAAATAAGGTAGATTGTAAACTGAGTATATTTATAGGTAGGTTAAGTTTGGGTTTAATACAAACTATAAGTTACCTATAGAAATGCAATGTCGTTTGTCTAATGGTTGGCTTTGAACGACCTTGGTACCTTGTACCAAATATCCCAGTGTATGACGTGTCATACACCTGAAGTGTGAACAAATACAATGTATTTACAGTATTCATTCCCAGATTACAAAACCTCAATTGCTGTAATCACCGGCATGTAGGCAGTACAGTACATGTAAATCTTAAAAGCTATGCTGACTTTGAAAACTCCCTTTTGTACCGTAAGCCGTATCCGAAGGCTGAGTCAATTTTTTGCCACTTGTCAATTCTCTCGAATCACTGAAAAGCCTACACAGGTCATGCGGCTTTACTCGGGTGCGATTCTGTGTACGATTGCAACTTTACTGATCTCTGTGTCTACCGCCTCCAAAACGACGGGGAGCCATTTATCCACAAGGCTTCCACTACCGATCGACAAACCAGAAAACAACTCGCTACCACGCTTCTTGAGAGTGTCCACGCAGAATACAGAGAATGGCGAGAACAGAGTGATCAGCGCTGGGCTTGAAAAGCTCACAGACCTAGCGAAGGCGGGTGTATCAAATATCAACTTGGGGTCCTGGATCTCAAAGGACCCACCTGCAGAGCCGATTTTGAGAAGGTTCAAGCTCACGAATGGGATGGACGATGCTCTGGCTAGTCCCAACTTGAAGGCTCTGGAGAACTACGTCAAGGAGCTCAACACGCAGAATAATAACAATAAGGCATCCGTGATTGGGATGTTCATGGCGCACTACGGAGATGACGCCGTTGCGAACGCACTAATGACAGCGCAGAGGGCAGGCGGCGAAATGAACACGATACAGCGGTTGCGGAATGCCCAGCTACTATCGTGGCTGCAAAAGAGAAAATCTGTCGACGATGTCTTCACCTTGCTCAAGCTTCGTAGCGATGGGTATCTAGCTCTTGCGAGTCCGAAGATGGAGGTTTTGGACGACTACATAAAGCTCGTTATTAGCACGAAATCCACGAAAGATTCTTTGCTCAAGACCTTAACGAAGGGGTTTGGTGGAAAAGAGCAACTGGCAACGATTTTGGCTCGAGCGAGAGAGGATGTCAAAACTCGCGAACTGGCGTTGGCGTTGCAGAGCGCGTTAATTAACAAGTGGGTTCGAGTGGACTTGTTGCGTCCGAAACACATCTACAAGAAGTTAAGACTGAACCGTGGTTTGGATGCTCTATTGGACCGGAATGTACACACTTTTGGGGCGTTTATCTCCATGTACAACGCAAAGAACCCAAACAGCAAGGCTTCATTGATTGACAGCTTTGTTGCGCAATACGGGAATAAGGCGGTGGCGACGGCGCTCACTTTTGCCAAGCCTGACGATGCTGCGACGATGAATTTGGTGATAACTTTACAGAGGCAACAGTTTCTCAAGTGGAAGGAAGGCGGAATATCCGCGAACAGCGTCTTCAGACTACTGGATATTCACTTCAATGATTTGTTATCTCCCACGAATCCGAAGTTTGATACATTGAGTGGCTACCTCGCGACTCTCAGCAACAAAAATCTCCTGTACAATGAGGGTATGCTTAGGGCCGTTAGCAAAGGCTTTGGTGGTGAGGACGAGCTCGCCATTCAGACAGCAAGGGCTAGGGAGCACTTAATACGAAACGGCTATGCGGACCTCGATGAGATCTCGATTGCTACCGAGTACCAGCGAATGTTGTTTGGGCGATGGTTCAAGCGCAAAACTAAGCCTAGTGACATTTACGGTACAACCTTCCGTTCCAGCGAAAATACAGCTTCCAATTTGGAGCGCGCGACTGCAGCTCGATACAAGGACTACTACAAAGAACATATGGCTCCTCCTCGTATCGACACCTCCATCAATCCTAGACGTTGACCTGTCCGCAGCTGGATCTGGCTGGACGAAAGCAGATTAATGCAGCTTCACCGACGTAGAAAGCGACCTAAGAATACGATGAAAAGCCGAGCCCATGGCTTCGCTCTACTATCACATTGTGGGAAGTACACGACTGAAAAAAAAGTAGAGATAGACCTAAGTTTCATGAAAGCTTGGACAAAGATAAATGTTTTTAAATGGACACTTTGCTCACTGTAGTAGTATATTGCATGTCCTGCACAGGTGGAGCTTGCGCAAGACCACAGCTCTGCTATAGGATAGTATCAACCGGTATGTGTTAATCGAAGCACGCACCTGAGGTTTACGCCCTTCTGGGTAAATTCCTTCTACTTTTTTATTACAGTCCTTAGTGCTATATAATAAGGGCCTGACAACCTTGGTGTCGATGTATCGGATTTTCTTTTATTTATCGTTTAATAAAAGATAAATTTTGGGACTAATCATGTTCACTGTTCTCTTTTTGAAACAGGACATCAACTATACTGTCGTAATGCATATGTATTAATTAAGTGTTTGTGGTTGAGGCGGTCGTGATCCACGTCTGTCGCACCCACGCGGCCACTAATGTCCAAGTCTTTCATCCAAATGTGGTCGCTGTAGTATTCGGACGTGCTGTCGAACTCACGTTGAGAGCGGGCTGTTCGTAGCTGTCTTGCTGCTACCAAATCGCGTTGCGGTCGTTTGTGCTAGCCGTGTGGTGGTTGAGAGCTCCGTTGGACCCGGTACTGTCTGGCTGGAGCCACCTGTACCGCCAATGCGGCGGTCTTCATTTTGGTTAAAGTCGCTCATTGAGCAAAGGTGAGCGCTCTGGATATCGTGCTGTATGTCGTGAACAAGTCGTCCAGCACAGGCCTTCCGAATAATACATTGCAGTGAGAATAAAATGTCAATATTTGTAAGGAATAATTTATTTTTCAGTTGTGATGAAAACTTTCAGTAAGATATTTACGGTATCGTCATAAATTATTTTTAGCCCAAAACTACTCAATCCCAGCTAAGCAAAACTGAGAGCCAACCGCTGCTTGGTTGGTTGGCAAGGTTTAGGAGGTGCATCCACCTCAGTCCTCCTCATTATCCAATTCGCCATGCCTTTGACAATCCCTTCACCAACCAGCAATGTATCTTGGAAGTAGTGGTGTGATATTGCTCTTATCAAAGCAATAACGTATTTGTCAATATCAAATGTTTCCCTGCAAGTACTGATTTCACAAAAAAGCAAGAATCTCATTGCAGTTGTATTATCGGAAGGCCTGGTCCAACACTTCAGATGCAACTTCCGATAAAAGTAATTAATCCAAGTTTGGTACTGGGAGTGGGGGTCACCGCCAACTGTTTCATTTAATTGAGAGCAGTCCCAAAACATCGCGCCAAGAAAAAGCCATTCTAGGACAAACTCCATCGTACTTTTGAAGAGCATTTTTGGCCCTGGAAAAAAGCATTTTTAAACGAGTTTTAGCTTTTAAAAAATGCCGTAAATGCTTCTCTTAAATGACTAAGAAAAGTTAGTCTACATGAATTTTCCGTTCTTAGCGATTATTAATACGGTATTACATGTAATTATACCTGCCAAAACCCGCAGCGGACAGATTTCGGCTAAATGACCATAGAACGGCCAATCATGGCCACATTGGAATCTATTAAACAGGTTGAAACCGATAGTGGTTTGAAGCTAAAAGTGCTTTGGAGGGGGGGGGTCGCTATACAATGTATAGTGCTGATAGCAGACATAAAGAAAGTTGGGTACGAGAAGCATCGGACTGTTTGTTGCCGATCTGTTGTAGGCTTCCTTGTCTCGCACGGGCCCAGAACGCCCTACGTAATGTTATTAGGTTTCGTGGACACGCAGTAGCCGAGATTTAAGGTCTTGGCAGGAGGGTCTCAAGTCCCACTCGCTTGTCTACACCTTTGCACATGCTGGCTTACCACGCATTGAACACGCACACCGATAAAGTGCGTCCGCAACGGTAATTATACATCAGGTCGATGAACTTGGTGCCTGGAAGGTGTCACGCTCTACTCCACAAGTCACGTGTATCCGGTAAAATATAATAAAATCTACCACAATGAATATTTTTCGGATGCCAACTTTACGTCATAAAAACGTTAACGGGAACTTTCGGACGGAAAACATGACGTTACCCCACCACTAGTGAGGAACCATCTTTTCTTCGTAGTTATCCTTGTATCGAGCTGCAGTCACCTGGATGCTGAATTTTCGTTGGCACGGAAGATTGCTGCGCCGACAGATTTTGACAGCTGTCGCCTTAAAATACAACAATCTTGGTTTCACTAAGGCATTTTAAACCCAAGTAATAAATCTCAACTAAAAGAAGAGGGGTGTGACGGACACGGTATCCCATAGTCCTGCTACCTTAATTGATCCTGCTCTCAAAAAGTTAAACGTACTCGTGTTTCAGCCGAACATCCATTGAATATCACATCGACGTGCGCTTTTGTGCGTTGTGTGCAAGTTCCTCCCACGTCCAGCGCTTGAACAGCAGGAAATAGAGACAGGAAGCCGACACCAGGATTCCCAGCCCAAATCCCACCCAAAGACCTTCAACACTAAAACCCCAGTAGAAGCCCAGCAAAGCAGCAAGTGGCGTCCCGAAGATGTAGTAGGCCACTGCATTGATAGTAGCACCAACAGTTTGCTTCCCAGCGCCACGAAACACACCTTGCAGCACGATATTCTGTCCGTACAGGATCTCAAACGGAGCCCAGACTGCCAGTGCGCTCGCCGCCCGTACGAATGCTCTCGTGGTCATTGAGAAGAAGACTCGAAAGCGTCCACCGCGTCGCGTACAAGAACGCAATAAACGACAGCGAAATCAGGGAAGGGAAAAAATAAATTGGTTTATCCGCCGGAAAAAAATTGGAATCAAAATGCTATATTGCAGGTACCGATGAGATTGCAATATAAACTGCAAAAAAACCTGCAATACTCAACTGCACTAAGTAATCGCGATTAACACTTGCTCACCATCGTGTGTTATCGCTTTGGCAACAAGACGTGAGTTCCAGAAATCCTAGTTTACCTTGAGAAACAAAATGGCTTCGAACATGCCAGGAGTCAGGCGGGATCGGCGGTCCGTTATCACGTATTTAGCTGCACTAAACAACCTCTCAACTGCTACGGGTGCTCCTTTCATGAAGCTGAGGTTCTCATATGCCGTTGTCTTAGTCATTTTCAGACGCTTGCGCTCTTGTATTTGGTAGTAGTAGTCGACCATTTCGCCGTGTACAATGCGTCTAGACGTGGGGGGCTGTTTTAGCTTCAAACTGGTTTATAGCAGATTTCTCTCTGGTTGACAAATCTCCTGTGGTGTCGTTAAGGACCTTCGATATGGCTGCTTCGAAGACAGGATCGTGCACAATGGAGGCGTCTTGTGCAAGGTGATGGCTCATCTCCGGATAGTCCTCTAGAATTGCGTCTAAAGTCCCGCGAGCAGAAGCCACGGTGACATTCTTGTCTTGGAGGCCGACATGTAGTGTCGAAGTAGTACTTGATCGACGCGGGCATTCCGTCACGTCTGGCTTTATTTTTTGAGAGAGCCATTGTAGAGATTAGTGAGGTACACACAGGGAGTGTTTGTGCTTCTGCGACTGAGAGGATTCAGGAATGAAACTTTTGGTGCACTTTTGAAAAATAACCTATTCCGCAGGTAGACTAGTAATCTCTTCCGCAAACGCTATACCTTAAACTAGAAAATTTGGACGGACAAGACCTCGAAGGAAGATCTAACTTCAAGGTAGACTTCAAGATACTTCGTACTTAACGCTAGATTATTGCAATTTGATATTGCAATTAACCCCTTGGTTCCCAGGATTTGGACCTCGGAAAGATAACGTCGTAACTTACGACCTTCGCTGTATCATGTCGTTTGTATAGTCGTGTACTATCCACATCGGGCTAGGTGCATAGGTTTTCACAGGTGAAATTTTGATTAAGTCGTAAGTTACACTGCTTCGTTTGTTGTTGAAAAGATGTAAAGTCGTAACTTTGTGCATTGCAGAAGACCCACAGCTGGGCACAGTTGGATTAGGAACCAGATCAGTCCAGAGTTTGCTAGACAGAAGGTACGATGACTCAAGAAAGCTTGTTTTATAGCTACTCACAAGGGATTTGACCATTGCGTTTCTACAGATCAAACGCACTGTCGTCCTCACTACCATCGTCACTACGACGACGTTGCTCGTCGTCTGCTTCACACTCTTCTTCACGTAGCAGCTCTCTTCTGGTCTTCTTCCGCTCTCCGGTCTTCTTTCCAGGTCGCCTGAGGACAACGCGCTTGCCAAGCGAAGTCGGAATGGCGAGCCCACACTCGAAGTCCTCGTGCCAAATCTGAAAGCACGTTTTCATCACGCCCCTGTACTCACGCCTTGCCTTCGGACACAGGTAGCACTTTGCGTCGTCGATAGAGCACTGATCACAGTAGAAGGTGGTCTGAAACGACTTCTTTCGCTCTCCACGAAGCAGCGCGCATACCTTACAAGAACGTTGGCGTCGTTTCTGAATGCCCGAGACCGTTACCCAGTCGTCAAACTGTATGAGAGAGTGGCCAGCGCGTCTTCGCCTGCGTTTCTTGCCTCCAGGAGAAGGTGTGGACGCCCCTCCAGCAAAATCCTGCTCCTTTAGCTGCAGCAACTGCTTGTGTAGTACGGCATACCATTCTCCACGCTTCAACGCCGGGGTATTCGTGAATTTGCACGCCTCTTTGTGCGATATATAAGCGTTCACCATAACGAGATCCATGAGACCTAAAAATAGGCTCTTGTAATACTTGGCAAAACGAACAGATGTCTGAATTGAGAAGGTTTGGAGGCGGAGTTGGTCGTGAACATCCACTCCGCCCATCCACTCCTGGTAGTCGTTTACTGCCTGTGGACACGGCACTGTCGTCGGCCCTGCACCCTTTACGTTGCGGTTGATCGTTGACGCATTCATCACTGACCCTGTGCATAGGTAATGGACCGGTTTACGGTCCCACCAATGGAAGGCAATCAGACTTGGCACTGATAACGACCGCGAAAATGTGAACGACCCACGCGGTATGGTGCTTGGTCTGGTTTTCCGAGACTCCTCAACATTGCGATCATATCCAAGACGTCGTGTCATGATAGTGCCCACGACGTACACACTCATAGGCAGCAACTCGATTGCCAACGGGATGGACGAATAAAAGCGGTCAATCGTGACAGCATGAAATGCTTGGCGTCCTGAGGCAAGTACAACCTTGAGGTTGCGGACCACCGCTGCAGCTCCAGTCTTATGGTCAAATGCGCTCGCCTGATCTTCACGAGTCTTCACCTTGCCCACGTAAATCTCGAATCTCCAAAGTTACGACAAAATATAACGCGGTCAATAGCAAAGGCGTAAGTTATGTCATTACGATTTGAAGAAAAAAAAGCACGGGCTCACCTGTGGCAATACGCAGTTCTGGCATCACACGTCATAAACATTTTGGACCCGTATCGGTGCGGCTTGTCCGGCATGAACATCCTCGTGGTGTTCCGTCTAGACGTCGCTGGAAGAACACCTTCGTCAAATGAGAACACAGTAGGTAGTGTCCACCCGGCAAGGAAGCGCTTTTGCAATTTATCAACCACAGGACGAAGCTTTCGCAACTTGTCACGGGTAGGCTCACTTTCGTTATCCACAAAATGTAGATCTCTCAGGATATCCTGGCAGCGATTGCGGGGCATAAACCTGCCGAAGGTTCCAGCGGGGACCGCGCCGTCTTCTGTCATCGACCAGTGTTGAGCAAAGCGCCGTTGCTGCGGGCACAACATGTGTGCTACCAAGAGATTCAGCACATGAAGAATCTCATACGTGCCATACACTGGCTTCATTCGAAGGCGTCGTCGTATTTGTTTCAGCGTCGCGGTTGGCGCCCCACGCCGCTCAGTCTGCTTTGCACGCAATCGCTCGGCTCTTGGTAGGATCTGCTGATTGCGGTAGCGGTTGGTTTCTTCACAGATACAGACCCACAAAGACTTCGGAGCAAAGTAGAAGAATGTATCCAGTGGTGAATCGCATAGGTTCCGTAGTTCAACAGCGGGATGTGCTTCTTCGGTAACGAGGCCAGGATATCCGTCAGACAATTCGAAATTGGACGATGGTTGAGTCCACTGCATTGTCCGAAGCGTTTGCTGTCGCCTTTCCAGCGCCGGTCGGCTTAGTTGATCGTCGTCACCGATACTTAGTGAAGCGATAAACGCCTCATCCATCTGGACAGCATCCGTCTCCGAAATGACGTCGTCATCGTCGTCCAGGGCACGAAGCTCCACAAAGTCCTCCTCATTGTCTCTCAGTGCACCACCATCGCTATCTCCCGAGCTCAAGTGCTCGTAGTCACTCGAGCTCTCGTTGGCCTCCACAAAGTTAATGTCGCGCTTGAATTCACGTCGTGGTTGAGCTCGCCTAGGGACAGGTGCATCGGAATCCAAGCTTTCGGCTCCAGAAGCCCCCGAGAGATGTTGTAATTGGGCCGCCCCTTCAATAACATCCCGCTCTGAAATGCCATCCTGACCGTCGTCTTGCGGAAGGTCAAATGCGCGATTTACAGCTCCTTGCGACAGCTCCACTTCGCTTGGCGTAGGCGAACCGAATAGGTCTTGCATAGTGCCCTGCGACAACTGGACACTGATGTCGATCTGGGACGCACGCACAATGACCTCCGCTTCGCTGCAATCTTCGCCGTCTTGCACATCAGCTTCATGGTTGACCTGGTCCTCAGCTTTGCGCTCCTCGTGCTCTACAGACGCCTCTCCCTGTATTCATGCGTTAGTATAGATGATATTTCTTGCATAAACGATAGCCTCACCTCGTTCTCGGTCCGTAGCAGTCCGGACTCAATGATATGAGCCACTACAGCTGCCTCGCCGAGAAAAACGTCGACGCCCATATCGCCGTTAGCAGGCGCTCCTGGCTTGACGTATGTCCAGTGAGTCTCTAGGCCTTTGGGACGTCTGGAGCGCCAGCCAGCCTCTCGTAGCTGTCGCCACAAGTGCCGGAAGTCGACGTCGTCCGGAAGCGTGTCAGGTTTCGCGCGTCCAGTCGATCGAATACGCGCCATCAGGAAAATTTTCAAATGAGGGCTGCGCAACCTGCAACACACCTTTACAGACCCTATCCCTGTCTAGTTTTTGCATTTTCCTGTGATGAGCTCATATTTATCTCGAGTGGAAAATAACTTGATTAAAGTATTGATTTTTGCCTCCGAGCCAATTTCTATTGTTCAAAGATTTTCGTCGTAAGTTACGACGAACAATTCCGTTACGTCGTAACTTATGACGTTGGGAACCAAGGGGTTAAAATACCCGATTGCATGCCTCCCCAAAATTGCAATACCAAACTGCACCTGAACTTCAGGCTGAAGAGCCAACTGCAATGCATACTGCAATGGAGGATTATCGAAAAAAATCGATGCAAATTGATTTTTTCCCTTGCCTGAGCGAAATGGCCAGAGTGAGAGTCAGCGACACCGTACACGAAGTCTTCGCTAGCTCAGGCAAATTGGCTCCAAGGCAGTTGCCAACGCGGATGTTGACTGCCACCGCCAGACCAGCAAATATCATGTAAATGATACTGTTAATGCTCACTAGCACCGAACGGGCACTCATGGACACCACAGCGTTAGGCAGCACGCCAGCCATCAACGTCAGCAGCTCGAACGCGACCCACTCCATCGTCATCATCAAGCAGCCAGGAATGCCCAGGCGCATGAAGAGCCCCACGTGTGCTAGCGCTTCCTTGAGGTTCCAGCCACTCCACCACTGATTCAAGTGATCTGGGTGGTAGTAAAAGTATGGAATTAATAGTACTGGCAGAGTAATATTTCCCAGAGATCTCGACAAGGCGGCCATCGAAGCCCATGGGCGTATGATAAGCTAACACATAACCGGTTATGATGTTAACAACGTTGCCGATCGTCGCGATAGTAACCAGCGTCTTCATGATATTCTGCGCCTGCAGAACCTTACGTACAAGTTTGTATAGCACCACGAACGGCATCCCCACCAACATCCACCTCGAGAACGTCTGAGCCAGCTTTGAGATCTCCTCGTCTTGCCCCAAGGACACCACCACGCTCTCCGTGTACCAATTTAGCAGGAAAATAGGTCCAAACACAGCTGCTAGTACCAAAACGCCAGCTTGGAAGTACACGCCGATCTTGTCGTATCGTTTGGCGCCATACGCTTGGGAACAGAGCGTATCCAGTGCCGACGAGAGACCGAAACATATTGAATAATTGGTAAGGTTCAATAGCTATGCATGTAGCAGTTAGCAGCATGTTTTTAACGAACATCTTAACTGGAGTCGATATTTGTTGAGCTCTTACCATGGTCGAGAGCGTGGCGGCGTCAACGTACTGCTGTGTGTACGGCGAGTCCATGTGTCCCGCCAAGACGATGCACGTGAGTCCTGGCAGGAACTCGAGCGCTGTCGTGCCCACCTGTTAATTAACCGCAGCGAGATAAGCACACTGTTGTTATGACACACATCCAGGTTTTGGAATTTTTGGGTATTGGGTATATTGAACGACCCACCCACCTATTCTTTTTTTAGGCTGGGTTTTCTGGGTTTATAAAAATAAAGTAAGAGC